ATAGTTCTGGGGAGGCAGCATTTCAGATCCATGCAGGTAAAATCTGGAACAGTCTTCATAAAAATGTGCGTCAAGCTTCTACTCTGGCATTGATTTATGATTTGCCGTGTGTGGTGGTTTCTATCTTGTTCTGTTGAGCTCTTGCCTTTGTATGATACACGCAATATATACGTTATGTTTTTGTATAGAAAATACAGCGTGAAAAAGTGAATTTGAAAATGATGCAATTGGGATCAAGTTTGACATTATTAATACAAATATCTGAGATTTTCTGTTAATTACTATTAATCTATTCAACAAGCAATTTTACCAAGTGAATATTGTGCACAGGGGGTGGAAGTGCATATGTTTTTCTTCTTCCCACTCCTTTTTGAGCAAAAATTAGAATGCAATTATTGTATGTGTACTGTGCATGAATGAGTATGTATTGTATGTTCTTAATATGTTACTTGTATGCATGTGTATCTGGCAATCAAGTTATGTACAATGGTTGAGTAATGAGTTTTTCTATTTCCTCCTGAAACAATATGGATGCTGTAAAATTACAGGAACTTGCCATTCCTGCTGTGAAGAAGAAGAAGAAGAAGAAGAAGAACCGAGCTCACAGGCCATTGCTCTACCAACCGAGCCACATGTCGCAAAATTAGCAATCCAAAACAATGGCTACAAGCTTGCAATTAATCATTTGTCATTACACAATAGACCTGGCATCTTTTTTAAACCCTCTCTATTCTCCGAAAATAGTGAAAAACCCTGCTATTCTCCGTCACCAAGGGAACAGACCGCCTATCGCCCCGAGGTACACTGACACTAGTAAAGAAGCGTCTCTCTACTTTTACCATTTTATTGCCTTTCTTCCTCCTGCTCTCTGCGTTTCATCTCCACTGCATTTTGTTTTGCCTTGGAACACCCCCCCCCCCCCCCCTTCCCCTTTGACATTTCCTCTTTGCCTGGATTGAGATAAATTTATCCTCCCGTCTCTCGCCTCACACCGGTGCATCCGTGGACATACACCTTCTCGATCCACAACTGTCATTGAAAAGCATTACCGGGCTTTTGCTCTGCTCTTTCACACAGGTGGGGGGTGTGGTTGTATGGGGGGGGGAGGGTGTTATGTCCTGGTTTGAGGAGAGTAAAAAGATATTGTAGCGACATGAGTTTTTGGGAGATGCTATCGTGTTGTTTACGCAGTGTCCGGGTCCGGGAGTGATGAAACCGGGGGATACACAGCCGCGAGGAGGGGACGGGATACGTTTCTGTCAAAATAAATGATAAAACAAAGAAGAGCTAAAAGCATGCGTTATGGAAATGTGGATATTATCTGAGCGCGGCTAAAGCTTTAATGGAATTTATGTAGCGTTTGTGAATTATAATGAGAGGTTTTTGTTTATTGTTTTGTTGATCTCTTTGCACGTCTATGGTTTTGTGTTTATGAGTTTTACACTGCAAAAAGAGATCAAATATTAAGATAAGATTAGATATGAAAGACTTTATTGATCTCATACAAGAGAAATGGATAGAATCACTCAGATTTGATTAAAGACAGAAGTGTGCAAACATGTTAAAGGCAAAAAATATAGTCTGTTCACGATAGATTATGTACAATAAAAAAGTGGCAATTAAAGAGACAGTGGCTATAGTAGTGCAGGTTATTTTTTAGTCAAAGTGACTTATTGTACAGTCTGGGTTAGGGTTAGGGTGGGGTTGTGGGTGAATCTCTCCCGGGGGAGAGAGTAGGCGCTGGCCCTCCACTCATACTGGGAGGTCCTGGGTTGTTGGTCATATTGTCGACGTGACCCAGACCAGCCTTGCCTCATAGTAGAAAGTTGTTTTTTGTTTAAACAAAATTGATTTTGTGTTTAAGGTTTTAAAGTCTGTGTTCTCTAGGTGCAACGTTTTGACAGGAGATGTGTATGTGACAGCGGTGGGGATAAGTAGATCAATCGAATTCATTTATAAAGCACAATTCATACGGTGTAACACAACGTTTCTAACAATCAATTAAGAGACAGACAATAAAACATAAAAACAGTGTATATACAGTACGTATAAAACGTATTGTTTTATTATTTTTTTTAATATGGACAAAACAATAACATTGGACAAACCAGATGCATTGCTGTAAGTGTTATGGCACAGGTGCTAATTTTCAAGACTAGTCCGCAGGGGCTTTTACATTACAGAAGATAAAATACATTTCAAAGAATTACAATACAATTTACACGTGAGAACAAGTCTGTCTGGATCTTAGCCACTGTTTGAGCTGTCTGCTGAAGATGGTCATGTTAGTCTGTAGTTTTAGTCCGGTGGGGAGAGAATTCCAAAAAAATGCTTCAAATTAATAAATAAGACAGTTTTCAGCCTGGACTTAAACTTCTCCAGAGACGAGGCCTCAGGGAGACTGTTTCAAATTCTGGCCACATGAATCTGAAATCCTGCCTTCCCATGTTTAGTTCTGTCCCTAGGCACCAGCAGGAGGCCAGTCCCTGTGCTCCTCAGAGTCCGAGTTGGTGCATATGGCACAAACATGTCTCGGCTATACTTTGGTGCGAGACCATGGAGAGACTTAAACACAAGCAGAGCTGCTTTGAAGTCAATTCTCAATTATCTGTGCCAAGATGAAGAGATCCTTTATTCGTCCCACAGTGGGGAAATTTCAGTGTTGCATCACCAGTTATAGAACTGTAAGAATGAGTAGCACACAGCACGAGTTAAATGAACAAAAAACTCTATAGTAAATGCTAATAAATGCTTACATGTTGTGCTTTTTTATCTTGATTTGAATACATTCTGACTCTCTTAAAACAAGATTTGCCAAAGGGCCCAATCCATTTAGTCTTATTTTCTCATTTCGAGGGAAACATTTCTTGTAAGTAAGTGTGTAATCTGTATTTATATGGCGCTTTTCACAGACCAGAGTCACAAAGTGCTTTACAATTGTTGTGGGCGTTTGTCCCTCCCTCCACACAGAGATGAAGTGGAGTCGCCGAACAGGAGGCTAATGCTAGACCCAACATGTTTTTAGCGGTAGGGGAAAAAACAAGATAATATTGCTTGTCCCATTCGCAAATTTTGTTTTATGGCAGTCAGAATGTGCATACTTTTTTTGTGTGCATATTTTCCCAAATTGTGTGAGTAATTTTGTATTCACTTTTTTTAATATGCGGACTTCGGATATAGATGAACTTGTGTGGGATTGTCCAATTACAAAGCTGTGTACCTTTCCAAATCACAAAACTTGAAAATCTCCACTAACTTTCCGATCACAAAAGAAGAAACTATGTGAGAAAATCCATATAACTGGTTCTTCACTCTTAACAGTTTGGATCAATCACTAGTTTTTTGGCATCGTTCACATCTGTAGATCAGCTTTTTCAGACATAACTGTAAAAAGGTGAAGACCCCTCTCACTCAGCCAATCAGTTCTCAGCTCAATAATCAAGATAACTCTCAGGTGGGATTTACTTATTTGGCAAAAGAAAGCTGCTACAGTCTCTAAAAGTCGTTGTGTGTGTTTTCTCAGTGTGTGCTCTCTTGTATCACACTGTGTGCTCCAGTTCCAGCTGGTAGTTTTGTTACTTGGTCTTTTCTAAAGCCACACAAATCCCCTGTGAAGGAAATAGTGGCGGACTGTGGATCTTTAGTCAAAAAAAGGATTTAACAAACTGAAAGCAAAGATGTACTGTTGTGTGATTCCAATCGTTTGGACAATTGGAGTTAAAACAAGAGTATTAGCGACGCCACTCCCAGTCCTGACAAGAACAAAACAGACTTTTTTATTCTATTACTGTTGTTATTTCATTACAGAAAGATAACGATATAACAATTAAATCAGAGGTGCCCAAACTTTGAATACAGTGGATCAGTTCTAGCTGCTTTTTGCATAGCCTTTAGGCAGACAAATGAGGATTTAAGTGTTGTGTCTTGCTTCTGGCCAGTTTAAGGACATTTAAGATAAGATAATGTCTACATCAATAAAGTTTAACATATCACATTTGGCATTGATAGAATCACTCAGATTGTGCAAAAAGACAACATAAAAGTGCAACATGTTAAGGTTAAAATGTACAAGCAAAGGAAGATTTCTCACCCATCATCTGTACTTCTTTGCAGGTTTTCCTTTGCTTTGACTAATCCCAGTACGACGGAGAGCTTACACAAAGTTAAAATTTGTAGACATTTATTAACATTTCTGGCCATTGTTCATCCACCTCTATGGACCAACGGCTCCTATGTGTTTATGATTATAATTCTTCATGTGTTCAAACTGTTTGATTCTCTGACTGGTTGTTGGTGAATCAACACTGTTGTAAAGTCTTCTGAGACGGCTGCTGTTGAGATTTAGGGCTGTACAAAAACACATTGAATTGAGTTTGGATAAAGTTCTGAAAGATCTGTCATTCTTGCCATTTGTCCACGTGTTTGAAATATTCAATATTTCACAAAATAAAAACTGAAGAGAACAAGTTATATCATTGTATTTAATGGAAAATGTGTGTTATTGATTAATATCCAAGTGAAGGCCTTTAGATAATGTTAAGAGACAATTACCTGACTGATTTAAACCCAGAGCATCATAGTTTTAGTCAAACCCAGCACCTGTAAATTTTATATCAATGTTTCAATTGTGTGTTCTTTCCACCGCCTTCCATGTGCACTGAAACACTGACACTTTCCCAATGTAGAGTGAATCAAGGTTATTTATCTAATCTCCACAATTCTAAAAGTAGCAGACAATCACTTTAAATGTGTGTTGTATGTCAAATATCAATTTAATATCTAAGACATTTTATGAAGATGATTATTATCTTTTGCACTTTGCACCTTGAGCCAAAGCAAATGCCCTCTCTTACTCACAATGGCAATAGAAATAATTCAGATTCCGATGTTTTGTGATTGCAACTTTATGATTTTTCCTCTCTTGCTTTTGTGAGGCCATCTGTGTTGTTCTCTATACACATACACTTACCTTCCTTTGCCACTGCACTTCCACCTGCCCCATGCCCACCGCTCAACGTCCCCCTCTGGCTTCTTTGGTCCCTTCCTCCTTCATATCGCCATGGCATTCTGGGTCCCCACAGCTCCAGATTACTGCTCATTACTCCCATAACGTCTGCAGCTCAGCCCACCGCCGCCTCCCCTCTGCCTGGCACACAAGGTCTACCGCGGTGACGGAAATGGCGGAGGTGGTGGGAGACGGAAGGTTAGGGGACTGGAGAGAGACAAAGACAGCGGTAGTCTGTTCACACCCTGTCAGCCGGTGATGAGGTTGTGAAGAAATAATTTGAGAGGAATCTGCCGAAAAGGAAAAGCTCTGACAGTACAAGCGCTGCGTGAAATGTTTCTGCATAAATGATAGTAATGGTGTGAACAAATCACCACAACATGCTGTTTTCTCTTCTTAATAGAACGTAGAAATCATGTTATCTTTTGCATATCTCTAAGAAAGAACCTTGTGAGTCACTATTTGATGCTTTGGGTTGAGAACTATTTTGTTGTTCGTTTTTTTGTCACTTTTACGTGTGAAAAAGCAGATCTAAAGATGTGACGGAGGCCACACACTGTTTCAAGAAAATAGTTAGATGGATTTTATTATGTATTGAAATTGAGTTGATTATAAAGAAACAGATGATGGACAAATAACAACAGTCAAGTCCTTTGTGTTTGAGCCACCAAACTTTATTTTGTTCTATTTTCTAGTTGAGAAATATTTTTTAAGAATCTATCAATGACATAATGTGCCTCTGTGACATAATCTTCCATTTGTATAGTTCTCAGTTAAGTACTTAGAAACAAGAAGAAGAAAAAAACCTCAAATCATAATGAATTACAGTACATTAAAATGAATGAAACCCTGTCTCACATCTTCAAGAAGACGGTACCAGACACGCTGCCTCCCCGTGTGTAGGAATGTGTTTTTGTGTCAGAACATAAGTCAGGTCTGAGAGCTAAGTGGAATTCACAAAAACCATACGGTGTCTGCCGACATCAAAGCAGAGCAAGACAAACACATCTGTCAGTCGGCTCTGTGCCGCTTCAAGTCAAGTGACGAAGCAAGCGCAAATCGAGCTAGTTACCACAAAAGGACCTTCAGATAAAGTAACTCGTCAACCCCTCCCTTCTGTTTGTATGTTGCTGCAGTACAGTGTTCATGGTTTTGCACTGGTCCAGACCTGAGCAGAGAGGATTCCTGGTCCGAACCAAGTGGATCAGGTGAAAATCCACTGGAGGAATGCTAAAGCAGCATTTAGCATTTTACTTTGGACTAGAGCAGAGAAAATGGTCCGAACCAACCGGCTAGTCCACCTTGTGACCTGTCCTGCTCCACCCAGAGGCTACTCCATCTCTGCTGCTGTGACCCGTCCTGCTCCACCCAGAGGCTACTCCATCTCTGCTGCTGCGACCTGTCCTGCTCCACCCAGAGGCTACACCGTCTCTGCTGCTGTGACCCGTCCTGCTCCACCCAGAGGCTACTCCACCTCTGCTGCTGTGACCCGTCCTGCTCCACCCAGAGGCTACACCGTCTCTGCTGCTGTGACCCGTCCTGCTCCACCCAGAGGCTACTCCACCTCTGCTGCTGTGACCCGTCCTGCTCCACAGACTACTCCACCTCTGCTGCTGTGACCCGTCCTGCTCCACCCAGAGGCTACACCGTCTCTGCTGCTGTGACCCGTCCTGCTCCACCCAGAGGCTACTCCACCTCTGCTGCTGTGACCCGTCCTGCTCCACAGACTACTCCACCTCTGCTGCTGTGACCCGTCCTGCTCCACCCAGAGGCTACACCGTCTCTGCTGCCCTGACCTGAAGGGTTGTTGCTCATTATTACCATTGTTAGCTTTTTAGAATGATCAATTTTATTTTTTATTTTTGCTGCTACAGGACACCTGAATTTCTCCTACGGGGGATCAATAAAGTATCTATCTATCAATGAATTGAAACAAGTGCTTCCTGACACTGAGTTCCTGCAGTACAGTCCCGGTGCTCCTCAAAAATGCACAAATACCGAAATAACTGCGTCTGTAAATGACAAGACAAAATATCTGTGTCAGTGTAAAGTCAATCTTACAAGTTATGCCCCATGGACCAAAACAAAATATCAGAATTTTGACCCAGAACTTGTTCACAGCTGTATGTATAGTCCGGGTTCTTGATGGTTTCTTGCAGGGTTTGTGAGGAGGTCATTAGGAGGCGCTCATTGGACAGATGCACTTTTGTGTCTCACTCCGTCTTTTGTCAATTGTCTGAGAGGAAAATGCGGTGAGAACGCGTCTCTCCAACTGTCAGCTGTGCCAGGCAGTGTGTGGTAATTGCCATTGAGCGGCTTTATGTCTCCACAGATTCACATTTCAATATGAGCTTTTTTTTCTCCCTTTCTTTCTTTAAAAAAACCCTTTTCTAAGACTACTGCTGCAACTCAAGTACATCCCACAAAAGTTACTTGGAAAAGTTTGGCAGGAAAAGAAACAAGTACCAGATGCTCTACTTTGTTCTACCATTTCCTGAAAATTTTAGTGAGAAAGAGTTCCCTTTAGTGTAAGAGAATTCAGTTGTTATTTATTTAAATTATGAATTTGTTTCTGGTTATGCAGCGACAGTGGCTCAGTTGGTAGAGCATTGGCCTTTGAGCATGGTCGTGGGTTCGAGCACCACAAGACCTTATCCACCGACTCCCACTGATGTCTGCTGTTGTTGTGTCCTTGGGCAAGACGCTTGACCCCACTTTGCCTGAAGCCCCTGCTGAAAGATCAGAGCAATGGGGTCACATGGGGAGCACCTGCAGGAGGATCAGTGAGGGGCTAGTGCTCTGTGAATTGGGTGCAGCTCTGAAGACTCAGAAATGGACAAAGGAGAAGAATATGGATGGATGAGTTTTCTGTGGTTATAGCTTTAACTGAATTGACCTATGCCTATGAGCACAAAATACCCCTTAAAGGTGATGTCTGCAACATTAATGGCAAGGCAAGGCAAGTTTCTATGTACATGTACATACTGTATATAGAACAGCTCATACACAAGATAAAAAAAAAAATATTTTTACTTGGCACAGCAATCATAAATAACCATAGTTGTGTTTAGCTGTGCTTACAACTAAAGGATTGTATTGTTTTAATTAACTGTGATTATTTATTATTTGAATGCCTTGTATAACTGTTTCTCTTGTATAACTGTTTCTCTCAAGTTATGTAAAGCTATTTCAGTTGCCTTGTGTACAAACTGTGCTATACAAATAAACTTGCCTTGCCTCTACGCCTCTTCCTCCTCCTGGATCAAGCTTGACGTACACTCTACAGATCTTCATGTCTCCTCTGGGCTCTTGCGATTAAAATGCCTGGATCAGAGTGGTGTGGGCAGCGAGGAGTGAGTATGTCCCGCCTGAAGGCTCTGTGTCCAGTCTGACCCTTGACCCCTCTCCCAGCCGTGACGGGCCGATGCTCCGACAGCCGGCTTCAGAATTTCAGCTATGGGCCCGCGGCGGGAACAGCGGAGCACAGAGCGCGGGCTACATCCGACCAGACATGAGAGGCCAGGCTAATAACGCTCACTATACGGTGCAGGAATCAGCCTTCAGGGTGCTCTGTCCTTGAAGTCCTTTTATTTAAAGTTAAGCTGCCTCATTTTTATTTCCCAATCATTCCCAATCAATCAGCACTTTGAGTTGCCTTGTGTATGAATTGTGCTATACAAATAAACTTGCCTTGCCTTGTGTTTGTCCCAACAGAAAGAGTCTTGTTAAAGTAATATTTTGTGACCACGTCAGAACTCAACATGCTGTCTTTATATTATTAGAAAACATGTTATCTTCGTACATGTAAGAATGATCCCTTTGAGTCAATATCTAACAATAATAATAATAAAACAAAGGTTTACACAGGTTTTTGTACAAAGACTCCCTACACTGTGGCAATAAATTACTACTGAGGCCAAGTCTGCCCTGAAAAACATCGACAGAAGCGAGGCAACCAGTATGTGTCATCTGCCTCTCTGTCCAACATTGTCTTGCCCAAGGACACAACAGCAGTTTGGAACATTACAGCTGCCCCACTGTGGCAAAGCTAAAGTGATCTCCAAAATATGGAACTACGAGCCGTGGGCCGTAAAAATGTGACGGAGTGCACACATACTGTACATTCATGTGCATTTGATTTTGTGACATTGTTTATGACAGTGGCTCAGTTGGTAGAGCATATGTCTTTGAACCTAATGGTTGTGGGTTCAATCCCCTGATGCATGCTGCTGTGTCCCTGGGCAAGACACTTAACCCCAAATGGCCTCTGAAAGATCAAGGCTGTGTCTTTGTTGACGGAGAAACCATTTTCCTGTGGACGCAGAAAATGTATTAACCCTTTAGGCGCCAGAGTTTTTTCAAGAAAATATACAATTTTGATTTCAAGATTTCAAAAGGCTATAACTTTGAAATTGTTTGAGATAAAGGCATACTGTAAATTAGAAATATCTTCAGTTTGAACCAAACTTTGGGATGGAAGTTGATTCGTCATCTAATTTGCATATTGTGACGTCATCAAGGTGGCGGCCATTTTGGAAAATGTTAATTATTGTATAAAGACTTCAAAAAGCTGTAGCTTGGGAGTTATTTGAGATCAGGGAATACTATAAACAGTCAATGTGAAATATCTTTAGTATGAAATGAATTTGGGATAGAAATAAATTCCCTGATCCAGATTATAGATAATGTTTTAGCACTGGTTCGCGGCCATATGGAATTGTATTATTTTCAAAGACCTTCAGAGATCAAGACAGCACTCTTTATAGTTTACAGTCATGAAATCTTGAGATTGGTTTCAATATTTCCCTTTCAGAGAAGTAGTGGGCTTACTATTTTTCTCAGTGGAAATGAGGCTCCAGGATTTACCATTTAGAAACAGAGAGATGAAATGAATGGACTCAGAACTTGTCAGATCGTCTCAACAACATACAACAGGCTCTTCAACACTTCTGATCCACTTTTGTGGATTATTTTCTCTCAAGAACTGTCTTCATCCTCATCATTGCTGTTGGTAAAGGCAGTGAACGCGATTAGCGATGTGTTTTTTCCCGCGACTTCTCCCGCGTCTCCCGTGTTCCCCGTGGATGTCTACCCCCACTACTTTCTCCCACATGCCCGGTGTTATGATCCCCCTGTCCCCTCGACCCCAGCCCCTGCTTGGCGTTCACAGAATGCTTCTACCGCGGCCACACGGAAGACAAGCAGCCGCTGCACAGTGGCTGATTGTGGACTATGGAGCGCGGTCTCCCCGTCACCAATAATGTCCGTGTCTGCTTCACTGGACACCTGCGTGTCTTCCTCCTCTGAATCTGAGTGAGCCAGTACCAGACCAAGTACTTCTCTGGTACTGAAGACCTCGTGAGTAGAATAAAAACCACTCTCTCCCTCTGCTCTGCTCTCGCTCCTCTCAGCTCTACCGCTGCTGCTTCGCCTCCGCGCTGCTGCGCCGCAGGTGTTTTACGAACTCAATTTACTCAAAAACGTTCAATATAACCACACCCACAAATGTTGCTCATGTTACAGGCACACATGTCCACTAACCCCTGGTGAAAAGTATTAACAAGATTCTGCACCACATTTTTAGATACAGCCTGTTTAAGTGAGCAATGTTGCTTGTCGCAATATTGCGACTTTGGCGCTTAAAGGGTTAACAAAGGAGAAGAAAATGAATTAATATTCCACTTTTGTTGTTTGAAAGTTAGGTCAAAATATTTGGAAGATAGACTTATGTCATTTTACTGTATATGCTTATGTTGGTATTTGCCATCAGAGGTGATGAGCTCTAACCACAGCTCCGGAGTGTGAAGTGTACACATGGTTTTGCGTTTGATTTTTTTCACCATAGAGATGAGTGCTAATTATGTACAAGAAGTTTAAGACAGTAGTGCTTGTTCAGGCTTGTTTTTTATGACCTGCAGTTGGCGCTGGGATTGAAGTATGTACGTAAAATGTATTTATATAGCACAGTTCACAGACCAAGCTCACACAAAGTGCTTTACATATCTGTCTGTACCAGTCTACTAACTGTGCTATACATATAAACTTGTCTTGCCTTAGTCGATACGACTCAACATGTAAAAATCCCCTTGATATTGCAGTTTATAAATTGACATTACAAAATCAAGTCACTTTTGGTTCCATCCTCTACAAAACAGCTCCATGGACACCAGCCTTATAGGAAGGCAAGGCAAGTTTGTTTATGTAGCACAATTCATACACAAAGCAACTCAAAGTGAAAAACAAAACAAGATGGAAACAATCACACAAAGCATTACTTTAGAATTCACCTCAATTCTGGAAAAGAGAAACAAAGTCGTACTTTTATTACACAAGTTTCCAAACTAAAAGCACAAATCCATCCACATGCAATAAGACCTATTTTAAAACTGTGGCAGAATCCAATTTCAGTGTTGGACATTATTTTCCCTGAGTCAAGGCTGCAGCGGCTCGTGCCCTTGGTCCTCAGGTCATTTCCAACTGCAGGACCTTTTGTGTTGGACCACAGTCACAGCTCCGCATCCACCAACCATGGCTTTGACCTCAACAATTAAGGGTCAGCACAGATTATTCTAGAGGTGGGCAGCCTTGTTATGGTTTGACTTCAGCTAGTAACAATAACGATAGTAATAATAATGCATCTTTTCATCTTTTTTTTTGGACACTCAAAGACGCTTCACATGATTCACTCACTCATATACAGTGTGATAAACTACTACTGCGGGGCACACTGACAGATCTGAGACTAACCCAATTACACAAACCACAGTACAATTCTGACTTAAATTGTAATAAGTTTTCAATTTTCAAGAGTAAATTCACACAGTAACATCCTACAGTCCACCATCAAGAGTAGGTTAGTTCTCAATGGAGATTTTCAATGTATTTATTTAATTGATTGTTATGTGTCTGCTCTATAATGGTTTTGTTTGACTTTTTGTACCGTGCCAAGCAAAGCAAATTGATTGGCCAAGACAATAACAAAGAAATATGTGCAAAAGTACATGAATTAAACAAACTGAAATGATTGTCACTGTGAAACCAATCCCCAAAAACCGTTTCAATAACAAATGCAAGATCAGTGCTTTGTTCAAACTGTCTTAAAACTGTTAGCATATCCAGATGTCCTGCATCTGATTGGACGATAGATATCTTTTGCCAGAAGAAGCAGGAACATGGCTTTTCCACGGTGACCAGAAGAGCCATTGATTATTTTAAGAGCTTGATTTATTAAGAACCTCCAGAACAGGCAACTCACAGACCTCACAGCGGAGTATCTTGTTCTTCTCTGTCTAACCACCAATAACCTCCGGCTTGGTAAAACTAGAAGTGTTCTCCAATCAAAAAGATTCAGGTTGTTTTCTATACTAGTGTCTATCCAACATGTCTCAGTGAAATGTGTGTATCTGCTATTTTTAATAATCATAAAGGAGCATCGATTAGAAGTCATCCCTTACCATTTTGGATGTACTGTATGCAGCTCTTCTTCTCTTTTTACTTTGATTATTTATGACTGTTTAGCCTTGTATGATTATTTCTATCTTATCCACTGTTTGGAATGATTTAAAGACCTGCTCAAACCTGATCACATTTAAAAGAATGTTTAAAAAAGATATATTGAACAAATATGTGGAAGTAAGAGAGTGATGCCTGGAGCACAGAGTAGTAGTGGGAGAGAGGTGTAGGGTCAGAGAGTGTTTGGGCCTGTGTGTGTGTGTGTGTGTTTAGTCTTGTCTGTCTCATTCCATTGGTGGTAGTATTGCATAACTGTTTGTAATGTACCATTGTACGTTATAGAATTCTACTGCATGATATCGTTAAAACACTTTGTCTGATGGGGTTGGAACTAGGAGTATGACGATATGTATGTATCGATGTATAGTGATAATTTGACGCGATCAAGTATTGGTATGCTTTTGCCAAGTATTGATTTAAAAAATATACTGTATATATATATTTGAATCCAGAGTTGAGAATTAGTTAATACATTACTTATAATTATTTTGTGTTCATTTAGATTGCTTTACTAAAAGATTTCTGTAACAGTATATTTCTGACCAAAATATTGATAATCTTCATATTGTGATATAATCGTTATTGTGAGCTTTGTATCGCGTATCGTGAGGTACCCTGAGGTTCCCACCCCTAGTTTGAACCAAATAAGCATTTGCTTCATCCAACTCCTTTTCAAACCAGGTACAGGTTATTTGTCTGTTATATTGAGGTAAAAATCTGTATTGTGCAGGTTCGAAATAAATAAATAAATAAAATGTCCTTGTATATGAGATGTTCTGTACAAATAAACTATCTTCACTCTTCTGAATGTACTGTGATTATTGATAAATTGAATACCTTATGTGATTGTTTCTATCTTGTCTTGGGAAGCACTTTGAGTTACATGAAGTGTGCTATTTCCGTGTTCCCCAAGTTGACAGTTGCAAGGTCCTGTACACACATCCATCCCCCCAGTCTTCCCTTCCCCTCCGCTGTCCTCCATCGCTGGCCCAGCATGCACCACTCCATCCTCTGCAGCTGTTTTGACAGGACCACCTGGAACAACTGGGGATAATCCTGAACAACAAC